AAAAAAAAAAAAAAAAAAAAAAAAAAAAGAGGAAAAGAAATATGGACGAAAAATTCATTAAGAATTTGCAGCCATCAACCGCGCCTTCGCGCATTCCGGGCATAGTATATCAGCTCCATCTGTTATGAATCCTTTACCAACTAGAGATGTTGAACACTGAGCACATATGAAACAGTCATTATGCCAATGTCGGTCTTCGAAAGATATAAACTTAGCACCACCTATTCCTGCAGGAAAACTTTTATTCAGTAAAGTTACTTCAAAATGAGGAAACAATTCAAGCATTTGAAAGATCATATATGATTCCTTTATTCTATTTCATTTTATTATTTTAATAAAGAGTTATCTACGATTCAGCTAACAAAGAAATACTGCTATTGATTTTTTGTAACGCAGTATTTCCTTTGAGCCCATTTAGTTACTAATATTTGTACGACCACCACCAGAATTGTTACCTGTAATTGGTTTTAAGCAGGCATTGCATCGTTTAGCGAACAGTTCCCCATAACAGTTGGCACAGTACGGTTTCTCATCTTTACTGGTAAATCTTTGACCAGCAAGCGAAGTATTACAGTTGGTGCAACAAAAACACTCCCGATGCCACGGTTCATTTTTGTACGTAACACCACCGCTACTGATCACCTAAAAACCGTTGCATAAAAATGCTTTAAACACTGTTAAGCTCCTAGTCATCGTTCTAAATGCTTATCCATCAGCAGTTGCAGCAGCAGTTTCAGCAAGAATCGACAGCCGCGAATTATGAATGCTAATAGAAAAAATTAAATAATTAAATTGAAAAGAAAAAACTAATACGATTTTGTCTAATAATAACATCGTACCTTTTTACATTTAGAACAACGGGTAGCAAATTTATCTTCATAACATTGAGCGCAATAGACTTCATCATTTTTAGGTATAAAACTTTTAGTGCCAATCGGTGTTTTACATAATGCGCAGCAAAAGCATTTATCATGCCACTGTTTCCCTTTATATTCCATTTTTTTCATGCCTAAAATCATTAAAAAAGCTGCTAAAGTGACTAATTGATTGTAAATGTATTGTCAAACGACTACTGTATCTTCTAGTAACTTCTTTTATCATAAAAACTCAAATAAGAGATTTAGTCTAAGCCGATACTCATACAATTAAATTTCTAATTTATTAAATTTTCAGCTTTCCATTTTACTAGTAACTTTATTGCATAAATATTATCCAGTTTTAAAATCAACAAATTCTGCTCACTGAAAAGTGATTATATTAATGCTGCTGAAAATTGTTATGGTGGGGAAAAACGTATTAGAATATATTAAACACTTCTAATACCATGCTAACAGCTGATGTAAATGCCGCTGAGATGCTACAAAAGAAAAGTTCCATATCAGAAGTTCCTCCGTTAATAGCATTAAAAAGATCTAAATTTTCTTAAAAATTTGTACGACAGATGTGCCAAAAAATATGCAAAAATCAAAGCATCATTATTACAAAGTAAAAAAAATTTGGAATAGTACTTAAACGGCTTTTGGTAACCTTTTCTGGCCTCATAAAAACTCTTTTGCTTTGAACATTTGAAGATTGCAAAGATAAAAGCACAAGTCTATGTTTATAACAAAATTACATTCAGATAAAATACCATAAAAACAATTTATTTTTTCAATGATTTTTTTGGTAATTCTAAAGTGTCACTTCTCCTCATTGTTAAACTCACCAATTAACTTACAAACTTGTACAATCAACAAGTTTTTCTTTGTCTCTTTTACATTATTCTATCACACTTTTATTTAAACTGCCCAATTTATTAACTCCGATACACTACTTGAGTTATATTCTCAAAGAAATCAGAATTAACCTAATGAAAAAAAAAGCCAAGGGTGAAAAAATAAAAATAAAATAAAAAAAAAAGGTAAAAACAAATGATTCTGCAAGAAATTTATTTTTAAGCGTAAAAGTCTTCTATTCAAGCACCTGTTTGATAAGAGTAAGCAGCAAATGAGGCAAATAAACCTAATGTTACCTGCCCGAAAGATCTCATTACATCCATCGCATCGAGTTGCAAATGCTTGGTCATAACAGTTTGAGCAGAATATCCTATCATTTTTGCTGCCGAAGGGTTTGTCAACCAAAGAAATTTTGCACATATTACACAGAAAACAGTCTTCATGCCAATGTTTGTCTTTATACGATAGATCCTGTAAAACGTTATAAAAATTCCGTAATTTTCTTTACTGCTCTTTTCCTGTCCTTGTTGCTCTTCATTGTCATCAAAATTCTAATAGCAAAGCAAAAATTAAAAGCACAGCTTACTGTAATTAAAAGAGTTGAAAAAGTCTTATATTTTCAATAACCATACTGCCAGAGGAGAAATTCGTAAAACAAAAATGTGACATTTTAAAAACAAATGCTAAGCTTCACGCAATCAATTACAAGATTTTTTCCTTCGAGACTGTATATATTAACAGCAAAGAAAACTGCTCTTTTCTTTTTTAATCAATTTGAGCCTTCCAACATAGCAACAGCTATGACTAACTGAAACCACCAACCTTAGAGTCAATACCAATAGGTTTAGCACACTCATCACAGGTATTTGCAAACACATCTTCATAGCACTTGATGCAGTAAGGATGTTCGTCTCGCAAGATATATCGTTGACCAGTAAGTGTGTTGTCACACTGCCAGCAGCAAAAATGATCACTGTGCCAGTCTTTGTTCATTGCCTTCGTGTATTCGCCCGCAAATATTAGCTGAAATACCTGATGCTCGAACTTCGTATTTTTTTATACATAAGCAGTTCTACTTTGCTTCAAATCCCCTTATAATGTCTTCAAGCCTCGTAAATTTTTTGTGTTGTTCAATGTCTTACGGACGCTAAAAGTTGGTGACACTGGAAATGTTGGTGCTTTTAGAGATGCTACCATTCCAGCATTGATGGAAACACATCGAAATTAAAAAAATTTACTATCGATTGATATCTACCGCTGTTCTTCGTTCAAATTCTATTCCTACATATCCACACATCCTACATATCAATTTTACTCCTACATATCCACCGTAAATCGGATCTTGCTGATCGATAACAGTACCATTCCTTTTTTTTCTTGATCAAGGCAAGTACTACGCATGCACTCCTGCCATAAAATTTGAGAAAAAAAATTTAAATGAATTTCTAATAATTTGTCAAGCAGAAGAATCTAAAAAGACGTGAAGTTATAACTATTAAGGATAACACACGATGATACAATCTACAGTCATAGACTTGTTTATTCATCAAGACCAAATAATCTATAAGACTGGAGACAAATTATTTGAACAATATTTCACACTAGTTCATTGCCTTCACCAATACTGCCCTGTGGAAAGACATTCTAATCTAGTCTAGCAGCCTTCCACTCCCAGCAAAACATACATATTTAGTGCAGCAAATTTATCGTCTCTCGGATAGATTTTTGGCCCCAAAAAAACTTTCACTATCCAAAATACCTTTCCTTGTTACTCTTCTTCATTGTGCTGCTCTTCTTCCCCTCCCTTAGCCGTTAACAAAGAAGTACATTGCCAGAAGAAAGGCAAAAAACAATAATATAAGGTGAAGCAAAAAAGGTAATAGCGCTACAGTCAAAAAAAACGCAAAAAAAATTATTCAAAATTAAAAAATTTTTTTAATACCCTTGCAAAAAATGACATCAACAGACGTGTAATAAAGACACCACAAAGAAGAAAAAGCAGTAAAGGACCAGCTGAAATGCTATAGGCTGAACCCGTCGATGATCCAAAGAAAAAACAAAAAATTTTTTCTGCCCGGTAATTTATAGAAATATATTTAATTATTTAGACCTAATTATGCAAAAAATTAAGAAAAACAAATTGGAATTCATATAAAAACATCATCAAGATTATTGAATCAAATTATCAATTTTGCAAATTTTATATTAATTTTGAAAAAGTTGCTTTATCTCATTACGCTTACTGTTCTACTTTCCGGTCAAAAAACCCCAGAGTTGCTTCTAATGCTTAGTTCTATTTTGATCACAGGCCACAACAATCAACAGTCCTTCATTTCTTAGAAACTTTTTGCCTAATTTATTCTAGGTCATTTGCTCCTAAATTTTTTTTAATTGATTAAAACTTGGTTTTTGAAGAGCATACATTTTTTGTCTAATTTACTAACTTCACACACTGATTGTTGACACATGAAAATTTCTGCAATACTTTGAAAGCTGAGAAGAAATCTCTTCTTTGTTTTATTTAGTCGATAAGCAATTTTTTTGGTAGCAGGAATTGTTCTGAAAAGGATACATTCGTGAAAAATGATGAAAGATCAGTATTATCATCACGATCAACGTCATCCTTCATCGCTTCGTATTGTAGTTGCCTTTTTACTTTAAAATTTTCATTTTTTTTTTCTCTTTTTAGGACGGAAGAAGAATAATGAAACAGAGTTATTTGGAAAAAAAAAAGTAAAAAAGCAAGTAGAGGTAGTAAAGTAAGTGAGTAACAAACAAGTCTCTTATATTTTGATTACTTAAAGACAATAATTGATCAATAGACAGTAACGTTAATTGTTGACCAAAATTAATAACACCAACAACTATAAACTACTGCATCTCCTGAGCAGTATAATCAGAAGAAATTCCACAGTAAATTGATAGTTTAACTTTGGTAAGTCGTTACCATTTAACTTCATGTTTAAAATCACTAACGAATTTTGACGTCAGAGTAAAGACTAAGTAATCTATAGAAAAGAAAATAATACCGATAGCAGATAAACAAATTTAGGGTTTGGTTCAAATCCAGCAGGAAAAAAAAAGCATGTAAAGTAATTATAACCATACACACTCAAAACGATTCTGCTTTACACAAATAACCGGTCCCCCCTTTTGACCTTCTTACTTCTTTTTCTCTTCTTCTGAAGACTTTTAAGTATTACTTATATCTCCTTTTTTAAGTACTACGTAGCTTACTTATTCGTTTCTACAACCCTTTCATCAAAGACTTTGTATTATTGTCATCGCAATAAAAATCAATTTCTCTGTCATTGCCTTCAGCGACAAAGTCGTCGTCATCGCTATCATTAAATCAGAAGCAGTACTTGATAGTGCCGTAACTATTAATAGCAAAAAATTGAGAATGCAAAGTGTTTTCAAATTAGGCTCATTATTAAGTACCAAAAGTACTTTAAAAACTTTGTTTCCTTTTGTGCCAGCAAAACAATATTACCAAAAAAAAAATCACTCCTTTTCCTAACTTGTTCCATATCATGACGATAAAAGAATGAGTTTATTGAAGTTTTGAAAGAAAAACTTCCTTCAACAGAAGAAAATTGATTGCTAATCAACGTGCATTAAAATAATTAGTCAGCAACAAACACCAATAACAAAAAGTTTATCGAATCCATAAGTTCATTACCTCATTACATTCTGTTACAAATCAAATTTTAAAGTAAAAGAAAATAGTGGAATTTTTTTTGCGTATCATTAATAAAAAATAGTGCAAAAAAAACAACTTCCCAAAAGTGATTTTTATAAAAGTTCTTTCTTGTTTCTTTTTTTATCATCACCTCAACTAAATAAACTAATTCGCTTACTAAGTGTCTGTTTTCAACAGTTAAAAATTCACACTTCCTTCTCTGCTTTCTTTTCTTTTCGCTTAAGACCATCATTAATTAAAAAAATATTGCTCTAAAAATTCTTTCACTTGCATACTCTCTAACCGTTTCAAAAATTTATTGAAAAATGTTTTCAAACTGCTAACACAAAAAAAAAAGATAAATAAAATGGCAGCAAAGAAGAGTCACCTCTACCGTCCCCCAGTGTCATAGCAATCATATAAAACTTAAATTCAACATGTCATCATTAGAAAAAAGTTTTAGTTTACTTGAAAGAATCAACTAAACCACCTACGGTACCAGACGTATGTACTTGACAACACAGTTCTATAGTTGCAAAATATTCATGTTACTAACAAGCGGAAGGTTTGCTGGCCAGTTTCCCGATTCTTCCAGTAACAGTCACGCAATGCTGCTCTTTTCTTGCTTTCTTTTCCTACGAAAGCTGAACAAGACCGATAATCAGCAAAGCTTGGCTTCCGATTACCATCAGATGAACACTAAAGCATGCTTTAATTAATAGATTTACTGCCATTTACTGCTTTCTTAGTTCCTGTTCCCTCTAAAAGTAAATAATATTACAAGCACAGTTAAAAAACATCACTGTCTTTCTTCCCCTTATTCCTTGTTTTAAAATATTACTGATCTACGAAGGTAATCAACAGGCAACGACAGAACAAATATAGCTGAGTAAAAAAGCTTGTACAGCTCAAAATTTTCATTGATCTACGAACTTAAATACCCCATCTTGCTGTTGCTGCCTCTGTGACAGAAATTTTTCGCAATCAACCAACAGCAGTTTGGTAGCCAAAATAAAAAATACCCACTCTAATAGTCTGCATAAAAATGAACAGAAAAAGAAATTATAACAGAAAGAAAAAATGAGAAGAATTCATTGAACAAAAAGAAAAAAGAGATCTTGCTTAAGAAAAAAAATTTATTACATCAATTTTTATTATCAACTTACTGTTTCTGTTTTACTATTATTTAACTATTCGCGTCATCATTCCGTGCTAAATTTCAGTATTCCTCACTACTCGCAGTCAAGTTACTAATTTACTGCCATGTACATATTTCTCTTTGTGCAAGCTTACCTAATTTAGGAGTCAAACAAAAGTCCTACCACATCATAACATAGATTGCTAGAAACATACTAATGCAAGACAATATTTGCCGCCGTAAGTTTTAGATATTTGAGTCAAAACGGTTTAGTAAAAAAGAAAAGCGACACAGATTGAAAAAGCGAGCTTTATAAAAATTTTTCAGGAGAATTTTATTCAAATTACTCAGCAACAAATACTTTCTAATCAAATACTTATTACTAAACTAGCCAGAAAGAAACATGGTAATATCTCTGATAAAACCAAAACCCGTTTAAATGACACAAGTGCCAAAACGTTACATGAACTGGAGATTTCCAGCAGCTTGATGTCATTAATCATACTGTAACTCGTGATACCATAAAGGCAATACTTTATGATTTCAATTTTACAAAAAAAATTACGCCTTCCATGAACATTTCTTTTTAAAAAACTTTGCAGTGGCAGATATAACATTTGAACTTTTACTTCCGGTCCAGTTTTTTGTATGTTTTGTAAATACACCCTTCTCATCACTGTTTTGGGTCTGAAAAGGGCTGGCTTGGAAAGGTACAGTTTCTTCATAAAAATCAAAAAAATTTAAGAACCCGTTATGAATAAACAGAATTACAAGCCTCTGAAGATTATTTTTGACAAAAACCACGTTTTTTTACATTTCGGAATAGTCTCATCTTGTTATTGAAACAGTTTTTAAGATAATTTAATTTCATTTTACAATGAGTTTCAAAGCTTTACAACCTA